TGATCAGTAGAAATGTTATGAAGCGATTTCTAACCTTAGATCTCTGTTTGAAACCGGGAAGAGAATGTGTACACTACTGAAATCAAAGGAAATAATAATAATAATAATAATAATAATAATAATAATAATAATAATAATTTATATATAAGGTTTATAGGAATTCACATAGTTTTAATGGTACAAAACAAAAAATACATGGTAGGACTGTAGAATATAACAGATATTAGAATTATTATTATTAGAATATAATCTAAAGAGACTTGGATAATTGTAGAAAGCTCATTTAAATCGAACAAGCAATGTACCTACATGTGACTAATACTTAATTTTAATCTAAAAAGGACTTTCCATAATTTGTTGTGTCATTGTTTAAAAAAGCCAATTTGCACTGACTAGGTGTCTTCTACATGTCGTGTCTCTTCAGGGTTATCATGGCTCTCTACAATGTTTTTCTTTTTTATTTCTTAATAATTGTTGTACTATAGAAAGTTCAACTGTCTATTCCTGATGTTAAGTATAAGTTTCCTTTTTTTTACCATTTTCTCTAAAACTTCGCCATTTCTCGCATGTTCGGTCCATGGTATTCTAAGTATCTTTCCACATTACTATTGGTTCCAGTCTTTTCTTCATCTGTTAGGTGATTGTCCAGTATTCATTGCCATATATGGGAACTAAGATTATGCATCAGTTCAGTATTATTTACTTTGTTTCTAACGACATTTTTTCCTTTTTTTTTTAAAGACACTTAATTTAATTTCTACACGATTATTTGCTATTCGTCTCAGAGTGCCGCTCATGATTATCGAACATCAAAGGCGCTTTGATTCATGTCTTTAGTAAGGACAACATCACACAAAAGAACAGAATCAGTTTTTGAACGAAATTCAACATGTGCCTGAATTGCTTCCTGGATGTCTGATTCCCGCCTCCATTAATGGAATGTTAACAAGTTAAAAGAGATAGTAAATCCTTGGTGTTAAGTCTTTTTCTCTTTAAATTCTTCAGATCAGACAACAGTCTTATTTATGGTTAAAGTGGGAGATCGAAAAACGAATTAACTTGCTGTCAGTTTCAAATTGATTAACTGATTTGCCGTTCGAAATAGAAAAAAGTTCAATTGCGTCATCGGAAAACAGCAAGAGATTTTTTTTTCCTTTTATTTCTTGTTTTACACGCTTCAAAAAAGCAGTTGATTGTAAACGTAGAGAAGCCAACGAAAAATGTCTTATTTTTATTCGCTTTAATAAGCAAAGGAAGAGTAGTATATAATATCTTATGTAGCCGTTGCATAACAAAGTGAGAATCTGGTGACAAATAAATCAGAATGAAGGAAATGTGTCTTAAGAAAAAATCTCGATTCTCTTATATATATATATATATATATATATATATATATAGTATTACACGAAGAAGACCAGACCTCAGTTGAAATTCACATATAAAATTTATCGTTAAAGACGCTGGAAAATGGTCGGCTTCTTGTACACCTCAAGAAAGTGTCTGACTGCTACTAACACGCTACATATTTACAAGAACTCTCATTTCTGGAACGCAGGCACTCGGTACTAACTTTTCAGTTAGTATCCGCCCCACAACTGCTTTCCCCACATATGAAGAGCTTCAAGCTAATCTATCGCTATTTCAATGTAAAATGTTTATACGGGCTACATTCTTGAGTTTCACCAGTTCAAACAGTTACAGCTAAGAGCAGTCATGCGACATAATAATTTTCCAAGCATAGCTTTTATGTAGCGCAAGGGCGAAAGTAAGGTGAACCCAGTAAGGATCGAACTCACTACTCAGTTGTAATTGTTCTAGCGAAACAAGCTTGCTAACCATTACACCACCTCGAGGAGCCCAACCGTCATGCCACATACACTTTCCGTTGGAATTTTCCGTTGGAATTTTCCGTAGGAATTTACATTCGGACAGCTTCTTCTCAAGAATCGTTACTTTGTGCGACAGACTCCCGAGAGGATGCTTCTCAAATCTTGATTTTTTTTTCAAGACTAGGATCCAATTTCAACAATCTCATTGAGTAAATTTATGCCTTGGGAGCTTTTTTGTCTTTCATTGGTTGAACAATAGTAAAAAAAAAAAACGGTTTAAGAAATAGGATTGTCAAAAAAAAAAATGACATACATCATGTTTATTGTAGGGTCAGTAGAGACATGATAGTAATAGTCGCTTTATTTCCAAATATTAGTTTGAGTCATATCCCTCCACCATTTCCAGTTCATTGCATGAAAGTGATACATAAATAATTCCTGTTGTTGTTCATCAACCATATTCAAAATTAGTCTAAATATAAAAAAACAAATAAAAAAAAAAAGTCACCTTTCATTATTTACATTATTCGGACTGTTATCCTCATCTTCATATTCACAACATTTCGGCCGTTGTACGCTCCGGCCTTATTCAGATGATTGCAATTTCTAATCGAACCCTTTATTTCGTCCGACAGGGTAGATTTTTCAAGTTCCACGTACCATGCCTCTTCCGGATGTCCCAGTTATTTCCCTTTAGCTTAACTCTCCCCGGTTTTGATTCGCCACTGCTGTCCCCTGGTATTGAACTCACAACACTTTGGGTCTAGTCAGTGGATCTAACCAATGTTTTTATCTACTGGGCCATGTGTTCTTTAGTCATCCGGAAAAAGCATGGCACGTGGAACTAGAACAATCTATCCCGGTGGACAAAATAAATTCCAGTCTCATGAAGAAGGCCGGAGAGATATTGCCAAATAAAAAAGAATCAATTATATATTAGACATTATTTGCAATGACATGTTATCACGTATAAAGATGCGAAAAAGTATTAAGCATCTCTTAAATCTGATTTTAATTAAATGGATTTTACCATCAAATCGTTTTGTAACCATCAAACAACTTAATAATCGTTTGGCACAAGGCCAGCTGAATATGGCGGATACGATAGAAAAAATCAACCAAAATATATTATTTATTTATTAAGTTGTAACTGTTTGCGTTGTCATGAAGGAGAACTATATTTTATTCGGTTGACTATCTCTGGATGAGTTTCGATTTAACTCTACGGACACGTTGCAGCAGCTGGAAGTATGAATGTGCATCTAGTATTTCAATGCGTTTTACGAATTATAAATCAATAACAACCCGACAATCCGACCGCATGTACAGCATTACCTCTCTTCCATGGAGCTTAGGTGTTGTGGTTGTTTTTAGAGATTTATCCTCGTCAATCGACTGATATTTGCATTGAACATTGTCGTATGTAATTCATTTTTCATCAACTGCTATGATATATTTAAGCAACGGTTAGCTCGGACAACACATTCTTCATTATAACTGGTTCCCGAGTACGGAAATTATTTATGCCCCAACTTAACAATTACGATCTTCTTCGATTTCTCTTATTATTGAAATTTCTAGGAAACTATTATTAACTATTAATATCTATGCACATTTCTTTCTTTGGCTATTTGAATTTTCAAATGAATCATATCTCTTAAATTAATGACTGAATATTTTTACGCCTGTTAACCAAAACTCCTTTCGTCAATTTTCCTGGAGGTTTGTTCTTGAAAACCTTTAGTAACTGCCTTAGCAAGTTGCCATAGTACTCGACATTGATAGCGTAGCCCTTTTGAAGGTAGTTAATAAGCACAATGCCTTTTGCATTTCGAAAACTGAGGCCATTATTTTCCCTCCAGATAAAACGACCTTGCTTTTTTTGGAGCGTGTGAGGAGGAGTGTTTACACTGCATGGGTTGTCACTTTGTTTCTGGCTCAAAATGATGAATTCAACACTCCTGCTGTTTTACGAAACGTTCAAGTTAACCAGCTGGGTATGCCTCAAAGAATGTCAGATTTTGCTGTGATGTGATCAGATTGGTACGCTTTTGATCTTTTGTGAGAAGACGTGGCATTCGCTTAGCAGAAACCTTCGTCATGCCAAGGTCCTTATACTGAACTCTCTCATGAGATATTTTTATAGCATTGGCTATTTGATTTGTAGTAAATCGCTTGTCATTTACATCATCATTTGTTGAACGAGATCAATGTTTTCCTCGTTGGTGGCAGTTGAAGGACTTCCAAACCGTGGGTCATTTTCAAGATAACCAAAGGTTTGGATGTCCTGCAATAGAATCAGCTCATTATTCTAAATCCTGCAATTGAATTATTTCACTAATTTAAGACCCTGGCCACCGCATATTATTTTCATTGAAAGCCGTTTCACATTTTTGCCATAAGTTTGTTTTTTCATCATTAATTTTCTATGTCATTAAATGTAATTACCATATCAGCCATGTTCTTCACCAGACTGAGGATGTCTTTTCTTTTGTAGACGACATATGATTTTTCTTTGCGTACTCTGATGCTGATTGATTACTAGTGTCTCTCAAGGACGTTACTTATGCGTTCGTGCTAGATGATAAAGAGAGAGCAGGACAGAAGGCAACCTTGTCGCACGCAGACTGATCTGTGGAATGACTGTCCTATAGAACTCAGGAGGATTACTGCAGAATGTGGATAGTAGGGTTCAACTTAGTACCCATTTATTATTTATTCAATATAGATGATAAATATATATAAATTGTGGAGAGTGATGAACTTCGTCCTGGTGGAATATGGTATTAACGAATCTACAGTAAAAGTATTGTAATTTAAGTTATCCATCCACTATTTCTACATTTTAAAAGTAATAAGATATAGACATAATCGGGTTCAAAAAGCATCTATTTCGTTGTTCGGAAATGAATGTCCGAATTTAGATTGATTTTTTACTGCTTATCAACCTTTTTTTATGTTTATTTAAAGCCGAAACACACTGCACAAATTTTTTGGAGATAATGATGATTTTCTGATATGTCCTCCCATTTAACTCATATCAGGGAGGAAAAGTGAATTTATATTTTTCCCAAGGGTATTTGCACGAAAATCAATCCGACTAAAATTGGAAACTAACTTTCGAATTTCTCAATCTGAGCCGTTATACATTACACCACTCCTACATCCAAGCTTACATCACCCCCACATCTAAGCTTACATCCCCACATCCAAACTTACAACATCCCCATATTCAAGCTTACACCACCCCAACATCCAAGCTTACACCATCCCCACATCCAAGCTTACACCACCCCCACATCCAAACTTACACTACCCCCATATCTAAGTTTCGACCACCTGCACATCCAAGCTTACACCACCCCCCCACATCCAAGCTTACACCACCCCCACATCCAAGCTTACACCACCCCCACATCCAATATTCAAGCTTACACCATCCCCACATCCAAGCTTACACCATCCCCATATTCAAGCTTTACACCACCCCCCATCCAAGTTTACACCATCCCCATATTCAACCACCCTTACATCCACCCCCACATCCAAGCTTACACCACCCCACATCCAAGCTTACACCACCCCACATCAAACTTACACCATCCTATATTCAATCCCTTACCACCCCCACATCAAGTTTACACCATCCCCATATTTCACACCACCCCACATCAAGCTTAAACCACCGCCATCTAAGCTTTACCCACCCCCCACATCCAAGTTTACACCATCCCCGTTCAAGCCCCCCATCCACATCCAAGCTTACATCACCCCCACATTCAAACTTACATTACCCCCACTTCTAAGCTTACACTGCCTCCACATCCAAGCTTATACCACGCCCACATCCAAGTGTACACCACGGCCACATCCAAGCGTACACCACGGTCACATTCAGGCTTACACCACGCCCACATACAAGCTTACACCACACCCACATAGAGGCTTAGACCACGCCCACATACAATCTTACACCACCTGGTATTTCCAAGCGGTCATCCATCTAATTACTGACCAGACTGAACGTTGTTTAACTTCTGTGATCGAAAGAGAATCGGTGTCTATCGGATATGTCCCTAAGTTGTCCGATTTTAGAATCAATTTCTTGTTTCTGAATTAATGTCTCTAAACAGTGCTCAAACTAGTCGACATAGAAACACTGAACAACTATACATTTTTGTTATCGAGTTACAAGTTTATTTATGCATTTACAATAATACTCTAAATATTTGGATAGCAAAAATATTTAACCACAGTTTCTGAAACTTCATTGCAATAGAAAGTCTTTTGACTTAAAAGGTTGTCAAGATGCTTGACAAAGTGGTAATCAATGGGTAAGAAATCAAAGGAATATGGATGATGTGTCCAAGTCTCGTATCCCAAATCGTTGAACTTCCTGGCAACATGTAGGCGACCATTGTCCTAAAGCAGATTTAGACATTGTCGATTAACCAGTGTCAGTAGCATTATGCTTAATATTTCATCGACATTGTTGCAGTAAACGTCGCTAGTTATTCCAGAAAATTGGAATTGATAACAGTCACCATTATATGATGTTGGTGCAATTTCGGTTTTATAAAGTCTTTGGAAACTTCGTCATGATCAAGTCATTGAACTGATCATTTCTCATTGTCATAATGGATCCATTTCTCATCGCAAGTATCTATTCGATCAAGAAATGGATTATTCGAATTTCGCAAAGCTAAAAGATTTCAAAATCTCGAACTATTTGAATTTCATTGTGTTCATGTGGAAAACCATTTATCAAATTTCTTCACCTTGCCAATTTTCTTGAGATGGTTCGATATTGTTGAAATGCTGACCCCTATTATCTGAGTCATTTCTCTGACACTTTGATGTGGCTTTTGTTCGACTAATCTTTTCAGATGGTGTTGTTCATTGTAGATGGACGTTCCCTACCATCGTGATCTTCAAGAGTTGGGACTTCAGAAACTAGCGTCGTACTTTCTGATGCTCTGTTAATGTTGGCAGTAGCTTGAGAAGTTTTATGACCAACCTTGAAATCATGCAAAAGAGTAAACTTATCTCTTTTTTTTTCATGTTCAAGATTAGGGTCATATAATAGACTAAGTTGCATTCTGAAAAAAAGATTGAGATAGAATTAATAAAGAGGAGAATTTAATCATTAGAATGGGTATTATATTTTGTGCAACTATTATAATATAACAGAGCATAAATTAAGAGATTTGCTCTAAAATCGGACATTATTTTCCGAACAATTTAATAGCATTTTCCAGTAGAAATACATTGTGCATCTGGTATTTGAGAACAGCATTTGGAATTAGATTTATTGTATAAAAAGACGACCGACCTTCGGTGCACTAAATTGTCGAACATAATCTCATTCACTCATACTGAATGGGAGGTCCGCTCATAGAAACAGGAGTACAAAGTTGGTTGCATTAACTACAGACTTCACTATTATTGTCTTATTAATCCATGTGATTAAAAAGTTTATTCTTAAATTTTTTGTTCCAGTGTTTTCCCTGAAATATTATTGACCAGAACTACAAGCTTATACGGGCATTATAACAAGACCTATATAAACTTAGCAAAGAGGGCACTTTAATCATTAGGAATGAGTAATATATTTCTGTGTAACTATTATAATATTATATTAAAAAACAATTAAATGGTTTAGTTTAAAATCGGACATTATTTTCGGAACAACCTAATATATGATTGAACTTTGACCATGACCTGCGAAATATGTTAATGAGACAAGTATGTATTAAATCTACAATATATATGAAGTTGTAGGCAATTATGACATGAAGGGGCACAATACATAATAGAAATCATGAATTAATAATGGAAATGTTTAATCTCAGAAATTCTCACTAATTGGTTATTTATTGTTTAGAGTTTGACAAAAATTCATCCAAGTCGATGAAAATTTTAAGGTTTTCTTATTTTAAATTTCTGATAAATCATCATTGTTCATTTCATGATTGAATAAGTTCATTGCAAGTTCCACGACTATAAAATACCCGTGGAAATTCCATTACATTGTTAAATATTTAAGCTTAAAAACTTCAGCAAAATATTGCAATGGCAATCATATTTATAACTGCAGGTTATTATTTAAATAATAGGTTAGACACGAAATACATCAGTGAGAGGGGGGCACCTCGAAGTGGTGTAATGGTTAGAAAGTTTGTCTTGCTAGATCAATTACTACTGAGTTCGATCCTCACTAGGTGCCCTATACTTTCGGCCTTGTGCCACGTCTAAGCTACGCTTGGAAAATCTTTACAACAGTGAGAGGAATTTCTATTTAACTGTAGCAAATGTTAGAGTCATGGGAGTTTATTCTTTCTTTCTGAAACCAGAGACTCTGATCTGTTTTTTCAACCATCAATCCGCGCGCAAGATAATAAAAAAACGGAATGGTCTATTATTTATTTGAGATAATGGCAGAGTTGAATGCACGTGCAAGCAACCTAACTAACTAAATAACTTTTGATCTATTGAAATTCACCAATTTTGAAAATGTCTACGGGTTTTTTTTCTTTTATTTATTTTTCCTTTCTCTTTTTCTCTTTTTTCTCCTCTCTTTCTCAAGTAGTATTTACGATTGTGTAAAAGAGAGGACAGAGAGAGAGAGAGAGAGAGAGAGAGAGAGAGAGTGAGAAAGTGAAAGAGAGAGAGAGAGGAAGAGAAAGGGATAGCGGTGAGGACTGTAAATGTATATCGAAAAGAATATCACTGTTATTGGATTACCCCCACCGACGCCATAAATAGCCCCGAATAATGAAGTGTATTCCAACCATAAAAATGGAAGAGGTAACCCTGTCATACCCCCTCCTTAAGTGTGTTGAATTTCACCAAAAACCTCGAATCATTTGACCAAATTTATTTCCCTGATAACACCTTCTGTTCTGACTGCTCTCTCACTATTTCCATGGAAAGTGCTCAGGCGAACTACGTGCCTTAGTTCCACCAGGTCTAAACTTCACGATTAAGACTCGCGCTGCTACGCTTGTAACGAGCCACCCTTATTCCCTTCGTATAAGTGAGATGTGTTCCAATTTAGCACCTTCTTGCCACGAAAGGCTGCTCTGTGGAACTGACTCCCAAGATGGTGTTTTCCCAGTTACTACAATCTTGGCCCGTTCGATTTTAGGATTAACCGTTATCTTCCACACATATTCGCACAAACCGTGCTTGTAACACTCTACATGGAGTGGCTCCTGGGCCGTATACAGCGTGAACATCACTGTAAAAAAATGTAAGTAACGGAAAAACCAGTAGAATTATATGATGAATGTTATTAGAAAGCAAAAAACAAAATACCCATATTTTGTCGGTGTGTAATGTCCGTTACAATGTATTACATTCAATTATCACGCTGTATACAACGCAAACTATTTCGTTTTTAGGTTGTATTCGTCTTCAAAGATCAGCACAACAATAATCAATTGGATTAAATCCGGAGCAAGATACACAGTGAGAGAAAGGAAACCATAATCATATCATTGCTTCTTTACTTCATGATCTCTTTTTCCATATCTTGCTCATATTTGCTTCTGAACCTCAGCGACCCTCTCGTTAACTCTGCCAGACTCGCGGCTTTCTTCTTGGAGTCTTTGACCTTTCCTCTCTGATCACAGAATCTTGTCGCTACACTGACCCATTCTGCTTCCCGGTGCATACTAAATCTTGTTAGAAAACCGGGTATAAAATAGCCAATATGGTAAAAAGCTTTTCTGGAAGCCCATAAGAAAAAAGTTTTCTAATTTGCGATAGCCGCGTAAAAAGAAATAAAAAAAAAATACTCCGCACTTAATTAAGCTTGCTGAGAGGTGATTCTTGTTGAACATGCATACATATATAGATTTATCTACCTACACAAAGTAAGTTCGAGTATTTCTCGGGAGAATAAATCTATCTAGACGTGACCCTTGCTCTTTGCTCTTAGCAACTACGTAAGGCGCATGAATTCAATTTGCAACACTTTGCCTAACAAATAACCCAGGCTGTTCTTTTCTGTGATGTATGCATTGGTTAGACTGAATCTTGGCACAGAGCCACACGCCCGGAGCCGTACATGAAGAACGAACACCTTATGCCTAGACAGCGAAATTGATTCGCTCATTCAGAACACGCTTGTCTATATAAAACAAGCAACTTAGCTTTACACCAGAAAAAAATTTTGTCTTTTCTATATAAGTTTTTCTTTTTTGATCAAAGAGATTCTATCTTACAAGATTAAAATAAAAGTAATCGTAAAATTCTCCCAGTTTATTGCCTAGATTTTTTAAAATTTATTTTTAGTTATTTAGGTACATATACATATTCACATAGCTTAAACTAATCTGGTGTTAAACTAATTGAATTTAAATTGGTGTAGGAAAGATTTGTCTATTCGAAAACTTAACAAAGGCCTTTAGAGGTTAGCGACATTCATCTTATTCTGCAGCAAGCGCCCTTCAAAAGTTGGTTGAAAAGTTAAAAAAATATGAATTTCGACTCAGTTTAATGCGTCATGATGGCGTCAAAAGAGCCGTGTGTCTTGAATTTTTTTATTATAATTTCTAGCGAGTTTTGCTGAAGCTGAATATGAATACATCCAAAAAGAATAGAAAGACTAAAAAAAAAGATGGATGGTTGTGGGCGAACATTTAGAAAGAAAACCTGCATTAGACGTTACTATTTTTAGTTTTTCATCTCTTAGTTCATACACACGTATATACATACACATAATTATACATAAACACACACACACACACACACACACACACATATATATATATATATATATATATATATATATATATATATATATATATATATATATGTACACGCATACACACATATACGAGTGTGGACAAAAATTTGGAACCTGAATATGAAGGCGGAATGCTAGAACTGTGAAATATTACATGCATTAATTTGAACTTTCTTTCTGTCTTTATATATTTCCAAACGACTATAACTATTTATATTATATATATATATATATATATATATATATATATATATATATATATATATATATTTCACATATAGTGGTGGTGTTAAAACTATGCTGGATGTAATATAAGCTATTAAGTATATATTAGCACGATTATTTGTTTTATGCACGACGCAATCTTCAGGTGCTGAGTATGGACTGACCGTTGCGCAATTTCGATTTTGATCTATTTACTAATCACAATGTTGGCGTAGTTATATATTATGCTGAGATTACAGTTTACTTTCTATTCTTTGTTCACTTAAATGGCGGCTGAGTCATGCCACGATATTAGAAAATCTCCCCACTCCTTATTTTTTATTTTAATTTAGATGGCGTTATCTCCCTTTGTTATGCTGTAATTAAAATCTCAGAGCCGTTGCCATGGGAATTGCAACAAAGTGCGCAATCGGAATAAATCGTTTCAAATTCTTTAAGTTTTATTAGATGGCTTAGAAAATAATGTTCGATTTTAGAATAAACCTTTCGTGTAAATTAAAATATAAACCAAATTTTAACAAGTTGATATATGATGTCAATTATTACTATTATGTTGTCATTATTTCTTTTCTTAAATAATAAATTTATTCTTCAAAAAATAAAATACAATTATATTTCATTTAATTATATATTAACCATTATTTGCAATGACTTGTCATGTATCAGGCAACTCTTCGAAACCTTTTGAGTAAAGTTTCACGCGATTTGATTTGAAAAGGTTTTCTGTGAAATCTTAAATCTAGTTTTCAATAAAAAACATTCTTCCCCATCAAAGAATTTTGCCGCAATCAAAAAATGTAGTAATCCTTTGGTACAAGGTCAGTTAAATATGGCGGCTGGGTTGAATAGAATAACAAAATTTAAAAAGAATATACTGTTATTCTTGCCTTATGCGGCCTTGCGTTGTTACAGTAGAGAATGACATTTTTCCTATTGACAAACGCTAGGCGATTTTCGACTAAACTTTTATTGACACGTTTCAGCTGAACTTTTAAATGTGCATTTAGTGTTTCATTGGGAAAGAAGTTACTATTATTTCACATTATAAGCAATCAATTTAATGTCCTTATCTTTATTATTATTATCACAAGGTTGCGGCTGTTTTGTTCTCAGGACTTCTTAAAATGTCTGACGACCCGTTCAACCTTCAAGGAATATCAAACTGATGCCTTGCGTTTTTCATGTCTCGGGATATCTCTTTTTTTTAATAAATAAACGACAGTACCAAATATAGAACAATATTAAATACAGTACAAGACGAAGATAATGGGAGCGGAACAAAAACAATCTATACAATTAAAAAGATTTCAGATTTAATTCAGTTCGAATTTCCTTAATTAAAACGTTCAGTTCAAAATTCTTTTAAGGTTGCCCGTGTCGACAGATATCCGGAGAAGGTCTTTGTATGGAACGAGCAAATTGTCGGCGTAATAACAACAAATTATCCGACATCAATCCGGTTGTAAGTAATGTAATTAAATTTCAACCTGCTTAGAAGTGTTTCAAAACATTAAGCAGAGACATCTCCTGAGACAGTAATATCCTTGGAGAGAAGGCTTTTTTCATATGGCGTCCTCCAAATGGCAAGTGCCGATGTATTACAGTTAAAGTAACTTTAAACCTTGACCTTGTGTCATATTCGGTAGCAACGTAGGCGCACTTAAGAGTTTCAGAAATCTTAACTTTTTCTTTGGCGATACCATATAGCAGTTAATGCATTAAATTATTTTAAGTCTATAACATAACGACTTTTACTTAATAATATTGCTGTATAGGTAATTTTAAGGAAATATATTACTTACACCAATAGTTCATTAGCTTAGTAATTAAAACAAAACAATTTACGACGGAGATTTTCCTCAATAAATTGGCTTATTCGAACAATTGTTCTCATCTCTAATTTATAGTAATTTATTATAAACACAGCATTTCAGCCAAGTACCCACTTGCCATCTTCAGTTATCGATTACTTTGACTTATATGATGCTATTACATTGTGCTATTTTTGTTGGTGTGTTGTCTTTTCTTGCTTAATATTGCTGATCCAAGATCTACTAGATAAGCGCAGCAATTGACAAATCAACGATTATATTCACGAAGTCACCGTTTCAAAGAATAGTAATCATATATTTTTAGAGACTTTCTTTTTAACTAAGTCTTTTCCATCGATTGCATATATCTACCGAGAGTGAAAATTATATTATAGAGAGTAAATTTCAGATAAAAATCCGCTACCTACTGTGTCAGACTACACATATTGAACCACCATCGTAAATAAATGACATAGAGGCGGGAAAAAGCATCGACTGCTAAATCAAATAAGTGATCATTCAACTATATGAAAGAATTTAAACCTACAGAATGATATCAAACGATCTATGAATTTCAAAAATTCATTGAAGTGAATATAATATATAGATATATAAAAAAGATATAAAACATATCAAAATCAAAGAATGTCTGTGTTTATGGATTTGGCTCCCGGATTTGCCATTAATTCCAATATTGACATGTGAAATGCAAATATAAAATAAAAAGCAAGGATATTTTTTTCATCCGGACCGATTGATTTAGAACATTTTATGGGAACTAAATCAAACTTTCAAATTCTTTGTGGGTTAAAAAATGACTATGAATTTTCCAATAGTATTAACAAAGGAACAGGAATTCTGTATCAATATTTACGAATACCTATTCGGCTTAAGTTTCTTCTCTCAACATTTTTCTCTTCGGATCTCATTTTCACATTCAACTCACAAAATATATATATACATACATACATACATATATATATATATATATATATATATATATATATATATATATATATATATGTGTGTGTGTGTGTGTGTGTGTGTGTGTGTGTAACATGACGATTTCTCACACATACTTAGGAGATAAGCAGATAGATTCCTTTATCTTTCTAAGTAAATTTGATTATCATTCTTAGGAATCTCGTCCCTGTCTATTTTTTAAGTCAATTTATTACCAGAGTTTTCAGGATTCCTGTTTCCAGCCCGCTTTTGAATTGGCAAACATAAAATTTTGTTAGTGATTTTAGATAATCATAAAAGTAGAGTCCTTTGAAAATTTAACCATCCGTCCAGCTTTTGGGTTGTCTCCTTTTCCGGAAAACATGTGGACGGATAGAGGAGTGGACTCCAGCCAGTATCCATATAAGCAGAGACAGGAAGGAACTCAGCAGTAGGTGACCAGCAGCCAGGAAGTGACCAGCAGCCAGTGAGGAAGGGACCAGCGAGCAATGGGAAATCAGCACTCGCCTAGACCACCATTTAATGTAAGGGTCGTCTTTCTGTGGCTGAAAGTTAGTGAGATAGCAGTCCACTTCTATGAATCCGTAAGAAGAGATAGACGTCTATTTCCTAACCAGTGCCATGAAAAGCATTTGTCGTTAATCTTTGTTAAATTCTATCATGGCCAAGGAGACAAACCTGTGAACATAACGAGTCAGACACAGGCGACCTTGGATGTTATCACAGGTTGTGTAATGACGATAAGCGGAATACGACGCTACAATTGGTTGCCGCGATAAGTATTACACACTGTCGCCACGGAAATAAGAAAAAAATGAGAATTGGAAAAAAAAACGTAAGAAGGAAACACACAACGTAGAGGTGGAGAAGAAAAAGAAGAAAAATGAAATGTTGAAATGTAAATAACTTTAAAAGGAAAGAAAAAGGAAACACAACGTGGAAATAAAACAGAAAAGAAGAAAAATGAACTGTTGAAAAGTAAATAACTTTAAAAGAAAAGAAAAAGCAAAAACAACGTGGAAATAAAAAAGAAAAAGTGAAATGCTCAAAAGTAAAGAACTTAAAAAGAAGATAAACTTCATTGGCATAAACAACGTGAAAAAGGAAGAAAAAACGGGACGAAAAAGAACTTTAAAAAGAAAATAATCCTTGTAAAAAATACGAAAAAAAATGATAGTGAACGTTATTTTTTAGTTGATTCAAATACGCACACGGAAAAATAGAAGAAAGCAAAGGGAAGATGAACACGCGAAAGAAAACGAAACGATTGATATAACGAGGTAAGGGTTGTTTTTTTTTTTCTTTTTAAATCTTCCCCGTCTCTCGTTACTCGCCAGCCGTATTTTTTTTATCATTTTGTCACATGACGTTTGTTCTGCTTATTTTATTGCCTAGTGCTATTTTTTCGCCATAGTAAAAAAAGTTTTAGTGTTTAAATTTATTATATATATATATATATATATATATATATATATATATATATATAACTAGGGGTAGATTAGACAATGATGCTATTCCTCGTCCCATCACTAGAATGGTCTCAGAGGGTTTGCGGATTCCTATACTTTTGGAATTTCAGGCTTGGGTAGATGCGTTGAAAAAGAAAGCCAGATTTCATAATCTAACGTCGGCAGAAATTGTCAAGTTAGCTTATGAATCTTCTGATGGCACTGTTTCCTAATACATAAGTTTATTCCTAGACGACATTCCTGAAGCTAGCTGGACCGATCTCATGCAATAGCGAACGACTCAATATAGGGAATATATAAGCGCAGCTGATGCTGCCAAAGAATTAGTTAGAATTAGACAGGGAGAGTGAGAAACGTTATTCGGGCTAGCTAATAGAGTACTAAACTTGGCCAAAATAGCCTTCAAGTATGCTGGGCAGAGAGACAGAGAAGCCGTGTAGGCCCAGCCGGCGGAGTATTATTGAGACGCGATTAGAAATACATTTATAAGGACACCGGTATAGCCAGGGCAGCGCCGATGACATTTTCAGAAGCATTTGTGGTGGCACGAAAGAGTCATAGACATTTTGAGAGACTGGCGTCTTCCCAAAGGCACGTGCATGAGATGGGATGGCTCGTTAGGGAAAGAGAGAGACCATGTCTCAATGGAAAGGAGCAGTAGGTCTGTAGTCGATCTAGTAGTAGTAAAAGAGGCCACAGACCTGAGAGGAATATGCAGAAACCTCACCTAGGTTTGCTGAGGTGGGGGGGCAGTGCATTCGCTCTGTTCGGTCGAGAATCCGATTTAACTAGTAAGGTAATAGTTGGCGGGAGAGGAAAATAATGGCATGAAAAGATACAAGGATATTAATGTCGATGATGAGAACTACAGATTATTTTAAGCTAGGATTTAGAGAACACGACCTAGATGTTGCGAAGCAAAACATATTTCATTTGGCCAGAAGGGAAATTAAGTTATTAGGATTACGGTGGAGTAATGAATAGCAGCTCGGATTGAAGAATCGAATTCCAGTCAAATGGCAACAAACCGCTGGAAAAAAAATCTGCCTCGTCAGTCATGTATCGAAAAATAAATGATTGACTAAGCGTGTATCATGCCACTTTCCTGTGGATGGGGCAGTTACGGTGCAGGAAATGTATGTGACACCTACCCTGTGTAGATCTATGATATTAGGTAGGGATTGGCTTCAAAGTAATGAAACCTCTAACCAGCACACCCACTGCTAAAGTTGGGGAAAGAGAAATACCCTTAGGTTAAATTTAACAAAGGAAAGTGTTGAGATGTGAGTTTCCCGCGTGTCGGTGTATGAATCAAGAAAAAAAAGTTGTAGAGGAAAATAGTGGTATATTCATAAAAGCAATTAACAATAGAGTGATTAGTAGAACGAAGGTTGGTTAGTACGAAACAATATCCAAAGTCTATAGTCCAACGGTATGTACCGGGTAAGCTTATCTGGACTGCTAAGATATTCAGCCACCCCCCAACGAGGGTGTCATGTAGCACAAGGCTTTTTTAACGTGGGCATTCACGAGCCATTAGGATCGGCCAAAAAATAGCCCATTTCAAGCCGTATAAACAGGTTCAGGGCCGGTTTAACCTCCCCGAAGGAGACTCCGCCCTTCGGCGTAGCCTCCTTCGGGTTCCTCCGGCCCGTAGGAAGAGAGTTGAACCGAGCAGTCGCTCAGAAAATTTCTGGACGACTAAGATATTTAGACACCCCCCCTCCCCACGAGGACGTCATGCGGCACAAGGCCTTTTTAACGTGGGCATTCCCGAGCCATTAGGCTCGGCCAAAAATAGCCCATTTGAACCCGTATAAACGGGTTCTGGGCCGGTTTTACCTCCCAGAAGGAGACTCCGCCCTTCGGCGTAGCCTCGTTCGGGTTACTCCCGCCTGTAGGAAGAGAGTTGAACCGATCAGTCGCTCAGAAATTTTCTGGACGACTAAGATATTTAGTCACCCCCCCCACGAGGGCGTCATGCGGCACAAAGGCCTTTTTAACGTGGGCAATCCCGAGCCAGTAGGCCCGGCCAAAAAATAGCCCATTTGAACCCGTATAAACGGGTTCTGGGCCGGTTTTACCTCCCCGAAGGAGACTCCGCCCTTCGGCGTAGCCTCCTTCGGGTTCCTTCCGCCCGTAGGAAGAGAGTTGAACCGATCAGTCGCTCAGAAATTTTCTGGACGACTAAGATGATTAGTCACCCCCCCCCACGAGGGCGTCATGCGGCACAAGGCTTTTTTAACGTGGGCATTCCCGAGCTATTAGGCCCGGCCAAAAAATAGCCCATTTGAACCCGTATAAACGGGTTCTGGGCCGGTTTTACCTCCCCGAAGGAGACTCCGCCCTTCGGCGTAGCCTCCTTCGGGTTCCTCCCGCCCGTAGGAAGAGAGTTGAACCGATCAATCGCTCAGAAAATTTCTGGACGACTAAGATATTTAGTCACCCCCACGAGGGCGTCATGCGGCACAAGGCCTTTTTAACGTGGGCATTCCCGAGCCATTAGGCCCGGCCAAAAAATAGCCCATTTGAACCCGTATAAACGGGTTCTGGGCCGAGTTTTACCTCCCCGAAGGAGACTCCGCCCTTCGGCGTAGCCCCCTTCGGGTTCCTCCCGCCCGTAGGAAGAGAGTTGAACCGATCAGTCGCTCAGAAATTTTCTGGACGACTAAGATATTTAGCAACCCCCCACGAGGGCGTCATGCGGCACAAGGCCTTTTTAATGTGGGCATTCCCGAGCCATTAGGCTCGGCCAAAAAATAGCCCATTTGAACCCGTATAAACGGGTTCTGGGCCGGATTTACCTCCCCGAAGGAGACTCCGCCCTTCGGCGTAGCCTCCTTCGGGTTCCTCCCGCCCGTAGGAAGAGAGTTGAACCGATCAGTCGCTCAGAAATTTTCTGGACGACTAAGATATTTAGCCACCCCCCACGAGGGCGTCATGCGGCACAAGGCCTTTTTAACGTGGGCATTCCCGAGCCATTAGGCCCGGCCAAAAATAGCCCATTTGAACCCGTATAAACGGGTTCTGGGCCGATTTACCTCCCGAAGTAGACTCCGCCCTTCGGCGTAGCCTCCTTCGGGTTCCTCCCGCCCGTAGGAAGAGAGTTGAACCGATCAGTCGCTCAGAAATTTTCTGGACGACTAAGATAATTAGTCACCCCCCCCACGAGGGCGTCATGCGGCACAAGGCCTTTTTAACGTGGGCATTCCCGAGTCATTAGGCTCGGCCAAAAAATAGCCCATTTGATCCCGTATAAACGTGTTCTGGGCCGGTTTTACCTCCCCGAAGGAGACTCAGCCCTACGGCGTAGCCTCCTTCGGGTTCCTCCCGCCCGTAGGAAGAGAGTTGAACCGATCAGTCGCTCAGAAATTTTCTGGACGACTAAGATATTTAGCCACCCCCCCCACGAGGGCGTCATGCGACACAAGGCCTTTTTAATGTGAGCATTCCCGAGTCATTAGGCTCGGCCAAAAAATAGCGCATTTGAACCCGTATAAACGGGTTCTGGGCCGGTTTTACCTCTCCGAAGGAGACTCCGCCCTTCGGCGTAGCCTCCTTCGGGGTCCTCCCGCCCGTAGGAAGAGAGTTGAACCGATCAGTCGCTCAGAAATTTTCTGGACGACTAAGATATTTAGTCACACCCCACGAGGGAGTCATGCGGCACAAGGCCTTTTTAACGTGGGCATTCCCGAGCCATTAGGCCCGGCAAAAAAATAGCCCATTTGAACCCGTATAAACGGGTTCTGGGCCGGTTTTACCTCCCCGAAGGTGACTCCGCCCTTCGGCGTAGCCTCCTTCGGGTTCCTCCCGCCCGTAGGAAGAGAGTTGAACCGATCAGTCGCTCAGAAATTTTCTGGAGGACTAAGATATTTAGTCACCACCCCCCACGAGGGCGTCATGCGGCACAAGGCCTTTTTAACGTGGGCATTCCCGAGCTATTAGGCCCGGCAAAAAATAGCCCATTTGAACCCGTATAAACGGGTTCTGGGCCATTTTACCTCTCCGAAGGAGACTCCGCCCTTCGGCGGAGCCTCCTTCGGGTTCATCCCGCCCGTAGGAAGAGAGTTGAACCGATCAGTCGCTCAGAAATTTTCTGGACGACTAAGATATTTAGTCACCCCCACGAGGGCGTCATGCGGCACAAGGCCTTTTTACCGTGGGCATTCCCGAGCCATTAGGCCCGGCCAAAAATAGCCCATTTTGAACCCGTATAAACGGGTTCTGGGCAGGTTTTACCTCCCCCGAAGGAGACTCAGCCCTTCGGCGTAGCCCCCTTCGGGTTCCTCCCGCCCGTAGGAAGAGAGTTGAACCGATCAGTCGCTCAGAAATTTTCTGGACGACTAAGATATTTAGCAACCCCCCCCCCCCCACGAGGGCGTCATGCGGCACAAGGCCTTTTTAATGTGGGCATTCCCGAGCCATTAGGCTCGGCCAAAAAATAGCCCATTTGAACCCGTATAAACGGGTTCTGGGCCGGATTTACCTCCCCGAAGGAGACTCCGCCCTTCGGCGTAGCCTCCTTCGGGTTCCTCCCGCACGTAGGAAGAGAGTTGAACCGATCAGTCGCTCAGAAATTTTCTGGACGACTAAGATATTTAGCCCACCCCCCCACGAGGGCGTCATGCGGCACAAGGCCTTTTTAATGTTGGCATTTTGAGCCATTAGGCTCGGCTAAAAATAGCCCATTTGAACCCGCATAAACGGGTTCTGGGCCGGTTTTACCTCTCCGAAGGAGACTCCGCCCTTCGGCGTAGCCTCCTTCGGGTTCCTCTCGCCCGTAGGAAGAGAGTTGAACCGATCAGTCGCTCAGAAATTTTCTGGACAACTAAGATAATTAGTCACCCCCCCCCCACGAGGGCGTCATGCGGCACAAGGCTTTTTAACGTGGGCATTCCCGAGCCATTAGGCTCGGCCAAAAAATAGCCCATTTGATCCCGTATAAACGTGTTCTGGGCCGGTTTTACCTCCCCGAAGGAGACTCAGCCCTACGGCGTAGCCTCCTTCGGGTTACTCCCGCCTGTAGGAAGAGAGTTGAACCGATCAGTCGCTCAGAAATTTTCTGGACGACTAAGATATTTAGCCACCCCCCACGAGGGCGTCATGCGGCACAAGGCCTTTTTAATGTGAGCATTCCTGAGTCATTAGGCTCGGCCAAAAAAATAGCGCATTTGAACCCGTATAAACGGGTTCTGGGCCGATTTTTACCTCTCCGAAGGAGACTCCGCCCTTTGGCGTAGCCTCCTTCGGGGTCCTCCCGCCCGTAGGAAGAGAGTTGAACCGATCAGTCGCTCAGAAATTTTCTGGACGACTAAGATATTTAGTCACCACCCCCCACGAGGGCGTCATGCGGCACAAGGCCTTTTTAACGTGGGCATTCCCGAGCTATTAGGCCCGGCCAAAAAATAGCCCATTTGAACCCGTATAAACGGGTTCTGGGCCGGTTTTACCTCTCCGAAGGAGACTCCGCCCTTCGGCGTAGCCTCCTTCGGGTTCATCCCGCCCGTAGGAAGAGAGTTGAACCGATCAGTCGCTCAGAAATTTTCTGGACGACTAAGATATTTAGTCACCCCCCCACGAGGGCGTCATGCGGCACAAGGCCTTTTTAACGTGGGCATTCCCGAGCCATTAGGCTCGGCCAAAAAATAGCCCATTTGAACCCGTATAAACGGGTTCTGGGCCGGTTTTACCTCCCCGAAGGAGACTCCGCCCTTCGGCGTAGCCTCCTTCGGGTTCCTCCCGCCCGTAGGAAGAGAGTTGAACCGATCAGTCGCTCAGAAATTTTCTGGACGACTAAGATATTTAGTCACCCCCCCACGAGGGCGTCATGCGGCACAAGGCCTTTTTAACGTGGGCATTCCCGAGCCATTAGGCCCGGCCAAAAAATAGCCCATTTGAACCCGTATAAACGGGTTCTGGGCCGGTT